CTGCGCGAACCCGCGCCCGGCGGTCGGGGCTTAATGTAGCGGAATGGGGGGGTCGGGTTTGCGTCTCGGAGTTGTGGGTTCGTTCTTTAGCTTTGCAGCTTCTCCTTCCGAAGGCGTGACAGCCTTCAGAGCAGAGCTCTGCGCTGCGGGTGCGAAGAGCTGGTGATAGTAATGCTTGAAGTGGGCAGTAGTGCATAGAATAAATCTGAACAGGTACTGCTGAGGTGGCAAACCAGCTCCTCCAGATTCAGCACTTCTCAGATCGGATGGGGCACACAGAGCTCATGGTGTTCTGTGCATGAAACTCTACTTGAAATTAGCTCAGGTGCACGGCTCTGATAGAGCTGAGTTTTATCTTTGGGTGAGAGGGAAACCCACGTATAGTTAATGTTGAAGTTTCATTTGGTGTGGGATAGGTGTTGTAAAGTTAGTAGCTGTTGAGTAAGATGCAGATGTAAGCAATTGCCCTAGTAATGTTAGGAATACCTAAGTGAATGATAAGGGAAATTATATAAGGGGTATGAATTCAGTGGGTAACTGCACAGGATAGAACATAGTCTGAGAAAAATCCTGGGTAGACAGCAAGGACAAGGAATGCTGTTGAGACATCATGGTTTGACTTGTTTGTCCTACACATACAACTCAAGTCTAATAACTTTATGCAGGGTTTTAATACTTAAGCTAAAGAGACTTTCTTTTAGGTATAATTCTGAGAAAACACTTCGATAGACACCTGCCATTTTAACCTGTAAAAGTCTGGTAGTTTCTTTTTCTCTGTGTGTAGTAACTTTCTTTTGGTGGGTCATTGTATAGTCTGGCTTTGGTTTTGTGGAGTTCTTTTTGAAGCTTGAAAGGGAGTTTTGTGATATAAATACATCAAGCACAGAGATTTCTTGTTTGTGGTGGAGATTTTAGTTCACAAAACAATCTGCTTTGTAAACTGAATAACAGCAGTAGTTGTAAGAACCATAGACGGGAAGGGGCTGATGATGAGAATCATAGTTGTAGTGAATAAAAGTAGGTGAATAAAGTAAGTACAGATTGCACAGAAGTAAGCAAATATGCTAAAGAATGAAGAGAGTGGATGGAAATCATGGAGTCACAGGCCAGTGCTTTCTGTCCTGGAGTACTTCTTACGGGAATATGCGGTAAGACTGGAAATGTGTTGGAAAAATCTGCAGAAAACAAGTTCCCCCCAAAGCTCTTTGTATGAGGTTCTCTGTACTCGGAAAGCAGTTTGTGGAAGCTGTGTCAGGAGGCAGCAGTGATCCTGTTTTTCCTGAGAAATGGGATGTTTAAGGGCAGGAAAGCTGCTCTCTCTTTCAGCTTTGCCAACCAAACTGTTGCAAGTGTGACTGGGAGGGGGTGTAGTGCAGGGTAGGGAGTTACATCAACCTGGATGTCTCTGTTGGCAGAGCTTATTATGCCGAAAACTCTAGAAACGGCAGGACTGTGGTGGTTGTCTGTGAGACGAGCTGCTTGTGGTGTGTCTTAGTCCTGGCCTTGATGACAGTCATAAAGCTCTAAAGTAGGCAATGGAGCCGTGAGGTCTTCTGGGACCATCAGTTGTCTCAGCTGTGCGTTTTTAGGAGGTTTTTGGGTGCGCCTCTGCTCCTCTAGAGTTCCCCTCCCTTGTGTTTGGGGTGGAATGAAGAACTGGTAACAGACTGTGCTGTCAATCTGCCTTAACACAAGTCCCAGTCCTGCAGATCGTGAAGGAGTCTCAGCAGCAGCACGGTTTACGACATGGAGACTTCCAGAGGTATAGGTAGGTAAAGAGTGTGGATGGCTTGGAATTATCAGTGGGACTTGGCTTACTTCATTTAGAATGTAAACTCACTGTAGCAGGCAACAAAAATGATCCACCACATAAATACCCCTTCACAGGTTGCTTCATGTGAAGTAGCATGTTTGTTTTTACATGAGACGTTCTGTGCTGTGACTCTTTCACGTAGGAGGTTACAGACTGGCTCTTACTTTTCCATTGCTTTTAAAAACTCGTAGTCACTGCACTCTTCCCGAAGTGTGTGTTCAATAAACAAACATAAAGCAAATAAACAGTAAGGAAAACATCAATCTGATTTTTTTTTTTTTTAACCTCAGGAATTATTACATGTCTTTCTTGTGTTCTATTCTAAGAGGGCTGACAAGAAAGCTGGAGAGGGGCTTTGGACAAGGGCCTGTAGGGACAGGACAAGGGGAATGGCTTGAACCTGCCAGAGGGGAGATTGAGATGAGCTCTGAGGCAGAAGCTCTTCCCTGTGAGGGTGCTGAGGCGCTGGCACAGGGTGCCCAGAGAAGCTGTGGCTGCCCCATCCCTGGCAGTGTTCAAGGCCAGGTTGGACACAGGGGCTTGGAGCAACCTGCTCTAGTGGAAGGTGCCCCTGCCCGTGGATGAGCTTTACGGTCCCTTCCAACCCAAACCAGTCTGGGATTCTATTAACCACTGGTTTACAGGTAGTTTCTGAACTACTTCTTGCCATATGTCATATGGAGTTCCTAGTTGTTAAAACGTTGCCTGTCACAGCCTTTAGTCTTTTTTTTTTTTTTTTTTTTTTTTTGGTTGGAGAGAACATTAAACAGAAACCAAATTGTCCTTTGGGCTAAACTGACTGTTGATTGCCTTTTCTTTAGAGGTTACTGCTCCCGTAGGCTGAGGCGGCTCCGGAAAACTCTCAACTTCAAGATGGGAAACAGGCACAAGTTCACTGGGAAGAAAGTAACTGAAGAGATTCTCTCAGACAACAGGTACAGTCACTGGATGGAATTGAGCACTCAGTATATCAGTGAATAGTTTCTTTTCAGTAATTCCTTTTCATGTGGGTGTGGTGGAAAACTGTTCTCTACAGTGTACTCAGGAAGGTTTCTTTTCAGAGATGGCTGTTGTTGATATTAATAAAGATGAAAGTTCAGGCTGCAATGTGGGGGGAAGAGGCACTGCTGGGATCCTGCTTCATCATGTGAACAAGTGAGAGAAGAGGGAGCAGCAGCAGCCAGTTCCTTCTCATCCCTCATAGTTGCTAAAATGGGTTATTTTCATAATCAGTTGATAACACTGATTATTTTCATAATCAGTTGATATGACTTTGATACAGCAGAAGAAATGCTTCTTGAGATCTGTTGCAAGGTGGCCATGTGGATGCTGAGAACATAAATGGGGCAGCCAGTGAGGGTGTGGTTCCCCTTTGAATAGAAATAGTGCAAGTTTTGCTTTAGATTTTCTAAATCTGGCACAATGCTTCTCTGATAAAGTATGTGGAGAGCAGACAGGATCTTGGGCTCATTTCCACCTTTTAGAAAGCACTTGAAATGTCTGTCTTGTCTTTTCCTGTGGGGAAAAGAGAGCAGGATGCTGTCTTCACCTGTGTTAAGAGGCCAGATGCATTATAGTGTTAGCGAGGGGGAGAGCACATGTGTTTACACATACTGAACCAGTTTGAAGAGCAACGTAAAGTCATCAGTCCTTTAGTAATGTCTATGGCGCTACAGTATCATATCAGATTTTCTTCCTCAGTTGGGTAATTGCATTTCTACAGGGAGAAATAGAGTAGAAACCAGTGAGGAATAACACGACTTTGTGTGCTTAGGATGTTAAGACATAAAAACATCTACCTTTTATTAACCAAGCTGAACTTTTGCTACCAAACTTGCAGATGTGATGCAATGATACCTGTTTCAATGGCATTATTTTGACATTAAACTTCCCCTGCAGGTATTTGCTGTTGATACTGATGGATGCAGAGAGAGCCTGGAGTTATGCCATGCAGCTGAAACAGGAAGCAAACACGGAGCCCCGCAAGCGGTTCCACTTGCTGTCTCGCCTGCGCAAAGCTGTGAAACATGCTGAGGAGCTGGAGAGACTCTGTGAAAGTAACCGAGTGGATGCCAAGACAAAGCTGGAAGCTCAGGTAACCACTGATCCTTGGATCTTCTTTCACAGCAAAAGCTGAACAAGAAACTTTTGGATTTTTGGTGAAGAGATTATGCCCATGGCAGGGGGATTAGAAATAAATGATCTTAAGGTCTTTTCCATCCATAACCATTCTGTGATTCTCATCTAGCAGAAGGTAATCCAAATTGACTGATTCTCAAACTGGGTAATGTCTCCCTTTGAATTGCTTGGACTTACATTAATGAAGCTGCTGGATTTGCAGAAATAACCAGCGGCACCAGCCAAGATAGGACCTGGTGTTTATAAGTTCAGTATATCAAATGATTGTCCTTGATCTGAAGCTTTCAAAAGTAAAAAGAATTGAGAGAGACTTAAGATGGTGGAACACAGCTTAAGAAACTATGCTTATTTATTGAGTTATTTATTCGTTAAATGCTTTAAAATAGCCACCTAGGACGCAGACTTGTGGCTTCAGTTCCTGGCACACAGAAAGCAATTGTGTTATGACACAGCGCAAAACCCCAAAAGTTCTTTGATATCAGTGGGCCATGGTGGTTGCCTGACAAGCCAGAAGCATCTTGGCTTTCATCTCCTTAGAAACGTAGGAGTGTCAGTTAAAAGAAAAGAAGGTGGGTAGCTGGTAACCCATAATCCAGATCTGTTGTGTTCTGTGGGAAGACCAGATGAAAAGGACAGGCCTTAGTCACTGACTTAGGCATCACAGCAGCCCTCATACTCCAGATTGTACAAACTAGGGTGTCAGTCCGGGGGAAGTTAACTTGTCCTTGTGCTGTCTGCAGGCATACATGGCTTATCTCACAGGGATGCTTCGTTTTGAACACCAGGAGTGGAAGGCAGCAATGGAGGCTTTCAACAAATGCAAGTGAGTTCCTCCCACTTCACCAGTTTCATTTATAAATAGTATTGGACCAGTCTCATAAGTTCATGTACTGTATGTACAGCAATTCTGTGAGTTGCTTACACATAACAGCAAGGTACTACTGAAGAAACAGTATCCTCCAGAGTAGAGACATAAACTCTTCCCTTAAGATAGCATCTCACAAATGAAACATTCTGCAGTGTTAATATTTATCCTCTGCTGTAGGACCATATATGAGAAACTGGCCAATGCTTTCACAGAGGAGCAAGCTGTGCTGTACAACCAGCGTGTGGAAGAGATCTCGCCAAACATTCGCTACTGTGCCTATAACATTGGTAAGGAAAGGGGGTACCTCATCTCCAACACAGAGCAGGGCTTGTTCATGGGAAAGGACTTGATAGTTGAATACCAATCTAAAAGACAGCGCAATGAGTCCATAATATTTTGGGCAGATTCTGCACACTTTATGGGTCAGTTTAGCAGTGAAGATACATACTTATTTTGCAGCATGTGGTTCTGCATAAAAGGAAAAACACCAGCTTGCAGGAGTTTGCTTATAAAGTCAGAATGAAATTGCAAATTTATCCCTTTTGTCCCCAAATTGCAGCATGAAATCTATTGTTGAGCATTTCTGTATTAAAACAATTGGTAAATTCAGATGTTGGTTTGTTAATTCTCTCAGGTGACCAGTCTGCCATGAATGAGTTAATGCAGATGAGACTGAGGTCTGGTGGCACAGAAGGCCTTCTTGCTGAAAAACTGGAGGTAACTTATTTGCATGCTTCAAGTTGACTATTGAGTGTAAGTGTTGCTGCAGCACATCATTCAAGAGCCAAAACACATGAGAGGAGAGCAAGCAAAGCCTGAGCTCTATGGGAAACCACACTTTTTCCTTGGAGCAACCTGGTCTAGTGGAAGGTGTCCCTGCCCATGGCAGGGGTTTGGAACCAGATGATCTTTAGGGTCTCTTCCATCCCAAACCATTCTAGGATTTATTCTATAATTTCAAGAAAGTCAAATGTAGTATGAATTTGAAAGATTGGATTTTGGATACCTTAAACTTCAAGCTCTTAAATTCAGTCCATTCTGTACAGGCATTGATTACCCAGACTCGAGCAAAGCAGGCAGCCACGATGAGCGAGGTGGAGTGGAGAGGAAGAACTGTCCCAGTGAAGATAGACAAAGTGAGGATCTTCTTGCTGGGGCTGGCTGACAACGAAGCAGCAATTGCTCAGGTAACCCAGAAGCCATCTCCAGTGCTGGTGTTCTGACCATCCTCTTTCTTTCAGTGTGCAAGATAATACATGATACCTGGACTAAAAGCTTTCAAATAATATTTCCTCAAACTTGGGGTTGGAAGGCTAGAAGTGGGAATATTGGCTGTAACTCAAAGCTTAAGTCTCAGTTGGAGGTAGCACCCACAATCTACTAGTAGTAGTAGTCTGAAAGATCTGTGCTGCCTGGAAGTGCTGCCTTTCAAGTGATAACCATTATTATTTGTAAGTCACTGGGATATGAAGATTCCAGTTTTAAGAGTAACTGGGTTTGGAGTTACTGTTCTAATTTCTCTAGGTATCTTGCTGAAATGCTCCAACTTCAGAGCACTCAAGAGATGTGTATGGATCATGTTTTTTCAGCACCAAAAGCAATTTGCCAGGTGCTGTGAGATTTACAGCATTCTTTTCTTGACTTACACAAATCCTTCAAAGCAAGAAGAGGATTACTGAGTGTCAGGATGTGAATCATCCTCAAATGTAACAGCTCTGGAACACGTGCAGTGGCACACACTATGTGTGTCTTCAGTATTGCAGCCAAGTTTTCTACATGGGGCTTCTTACCTTGGAAATGGTGCCCAGATGATGTATTTTGATTCCCAGTGGCTGCATACAGGTAGTGAATGGATCTTTGGTAACAATTGTTACCACTGATGCTTTTTTCAGCATCAAAACCCATTTATAACCAGGAGAATGATGACAATAAATAGAAATTTAATAATAAAATGAAAGCCCTGCAGAGGAATAAGGCCAGTGGCCAAGAGACAGAGATAGTGTTGGGAAGATAGTGTGAGTAGGATAAACTGGTTATGGCTGAGGAGGAAACATTGATGTTGGCCACTCTTGTCCTATTGTTCTGAATTGGAAGGTGCTATGTGTATTTTTGGTAGGTAGTACATTGGTATGACCAGCAGGTGGAAGTGCAGCTTAGACTTCAGTGTCCCCTATTGAATGTCCATCCTGCCAGGCTAGCAGTTGGAACTTTTCAGCTTAGCTGCCCTCTTTGTTCCGTAAAGCAGAACAGTGAGCTGAACTTGTTTTCTTCTTGGTTGGTGTTCCTTGGAGGCTGACTAAACACAGGAGTTCTGTGGAACCAGATCACAAGCAGCAATGGTGAGAGCTGAGCAGGCAGCAGCAGTATTTACATTCCTAGAGGAACAAAACTTGGCTTTTTGAAAGCAGTGGTGTCAGCTGTGATGGGCAGCCCAGCTTTAGCTAAATGCACTGTGGTTCCTGGGATCTTTGGCACCTTCTGCTAGTCTTCACTAAGTTGAAACCCTGACAAAACAGCAGTGCTGCGCAGGGTTTGATTAGGAGCAAACACAAATGGGGTGTTCTGGGTAAAAACGCAGGTTCTCATTGCAGTTATACCAATGCCTTCAGTGTATTGGTACCAGAAACAGAAATAAGCCAAACTGAAATATGAATCCACATTTAAAATTACTTATGGCAGTCCTTTTGTAGAATTGAATGACTTCCAGGGCCCATTGACTCCCAGCACGAAGAAGGGAGAAGGCTAAAGGGCAGAGTGATGGAAGTGTGCTCCTGTCTGGTATTGCCTCAAGGATTCTGTGGGCATCTCTGTGGTAACCAGGACTGTAGTAAAATGGGTGGTAATAACATTCAGAGGTGATCTACGAAGCTTTAGAACAAAGGAAAAGCTGGAAGTGAGCACTGCTAGGCTTTGAAGAATGGGTTCAGTGAGATCAGTTCCCTTGACCCGTTTAGAAAGAACCTCTGCTGTTCTATCAGGACACTTGAATCACCAGCCACAGCACCTGTATCTCAATTTTATGATCAGCTATCTCCCAAATCAGAACATACATGTATTTTTGCATAGAATCAGCTTAACCTTGGGAGTTCTTACTTAGAAAGGAAAGCCTTTATTTCACTGCATGGCCCAGCCCTTTCCCAGCCCTTTCCCTGTTTGTGCTTGACTGATGATCCAGCTCTGTTTTCATTTTTGTACAGTGCAATTGCTGTGCTGCTCTGGGTGAGGTTGAGAATGCTGTCAGACTCGTCCCTGCTTATTCTCAGGAGTCAGTCCCACCTTAAAACTGGCAGCAAATCTTGCAAAAAAAAAAAGCCTTCATCTCGGGTCAAGATACCTGAGGCTTTGTGAGGGAGTAAAATTAACATTCCTTAATGCTTTTCAAACCTGAGAAGAGGCAGAGGCTGCAGAGCTCTGTGGAAGATACACCAGTGAGTGTGGGTTTAGACAGCTTTTTCTTCATTTGGACAATTGCAAATTAATTGCAACAAACTCTCTTATGCTGTTCCATGATGTGGAAGTGATATTACACAGTGCATGTACTCTTTAATCCTTCCTTTGATTGCTTAAGGTTGAGGTTTGTTTCTGGGCAGGTTCCTCTTACTGAACTAAACCAGGGGAAGTTCAGGTTAGATAAGGCAGAAGTTCTTCACTGTGAGGGTGCTGAGGAGCTGGCACAGGCTGCCCAGAGAAGCAGTAAATGCTCCATCCCTGGCCATGTGCAAGGTCAGGTGGGACAGAGCCTTGGGAGACATGGTCTAGTGTGAGGCATCCCTGCCCATGGCAGGGGTTTGGAACTAGATGATCTTAAGGTCCTTTCCAACCCAAACCATTCTATGAACCAGTAAGAGCCTTGTGATCCCTATGTGATTACCTTCTCAGTCACTTGGATGGAAGTGGAGTTTCAGTTTGGGTGCACTGTTTAATTGTGTACATGATATATTAGTCCATTAGGCAGGACTCAGGCTTCAACTTGCTTTTTAGAAGTTGTTTTACGGTTTTGACTATGGGGCAGAAGGCCAAAAGCAGCTTCATTTTTTGACAGAACTTGTGGTGACAGCAGAAAAGCTCTGGGTCACTCCTGCTATAAACTATAGGCTTACTTAAAAAAATGCTTCAAACAAGCAAATTACTGAGCATTACTAGAGTGGGAGTGTAGAAAAGATAATCATCTACATGTTGTTACCACATGCGAGGTGAAATCAGCATAACAAGAGCAGTCTACATTGGTAGTTTGCCAGTTCAGTAATGCTTAGCTGCCCTTGTGGTGCTGGGCCTTTCCCCCAGTGCAGTCCAGCCCCAGCTGCTGCAGGGATGAGGTGGTCAGAGCTGTGTGTGATAGGCCTTCAGAGCTGCTGAATTCTTAGCACTGACCATGTTCCCCACAATTTGCCCCCTAGAACATACTGCAGACAGGTACAGATTGGGATTCTAGCTATCCATGGGTCTTGAAGCCATAATTTGGGAGAAACTTTGTTTAATCTCAGTTAATTCTTGCATTCTGGGATTCAAAATACAGTAATTTCTGATAGATGTTTTCTCTTTCCTTTGCTCTTAGGCAGAAAATGAGGAGACAAAGGAGCGTTTGTTTGAGTCTTTACTCAGTGAATGTAGAGATGCCATCCAGGCTGTCCGGGAAGAGCTGAAACCAGACCAGGTAAGCAGCAAACAGCAGTGGTTCTACTTTCAGAACACAGCATTTCTTTGGGACTCATTTGTTACTGTTGAGCTTGCTTAACAGTAAAAGTGAGTGGGATTCCTTGAAGAAAAAGACACGAAAGAGTCAATACCTTTGATTTTTATTATCTTCAGAACTGGAGAGAGTGAACAGCAATGTGAAGCCCTTGTTCTTTTGTCTGGAAATCTGTTATAACTCCCTGGTTTACCAACCCTTGAGTTGTTTCTCATGTTTTCAGTAAATTGCGCACTTGTTTGTCCCCAATTTCTGCAGAAGCAGCGGGAACACTCTCTGGAAAATGATTCTGGGAAGGTGTCCAACATCCAGTACTTACACAGGTAATAGTCAAACATTGCTGCGTGTTCTAGTGTGAAAAAGCCATGGTCTTATGTCAAGGTTTCATTTCTGTTTGGTTTTGCTTTTATGGGTTTTTTTTGTTCTTGGCGCTCAGTCTCAAAGGGTGGCTGTAATGGGTAAGGATCTGATTCATGCAGCACTGAGAACATTTTGCGTAAGAGTTTCATGTTGACCTTTCAGATGTGTTCCCCCCCCCCTCCCCCCACCCACCCTCACCACAAATGAA